CCGTCGTCAATTATTCCTTACATATATGTATATATATATAATTGTCATACTTTAAGTGCTGCTTGTCAGAAAAGACAACATGCCAAAAGCAGGATAATGACAAGGATTTTTACTCTGATCTATTCATCATGCTCTTCCTCCTAATCGCACAGCAAATATTTCAGCTCAACAAATATTTTAGCACTCTTTAAAGACTGTCACAATGCTGCATATTTTTCCAGCGTTGTTCACTACTCATCCTCACAAAAATGGCTATCCTGGCTGCGAAAGCACTGACAACCTTCTATTTGTCTCGTCACACCATCAGATCTGCTTCAGTCAATTGTGCGGTTGATCAAATGGGCTGGATGTGGAGGTTTACAGGAGGCAGATGACTCACCGTGTAGCAGTTCCTCTGTGCCCTGTTTGCTGGTGTGATCTATGGAGCTGTCCTTCACCTTCAGATGATCAATCAATCTTACCATGAGCAAAAGGCAAAGAAGAGAGGAAGTTAGGAAGAGAGAGTAATAGAAAGAGGGTTTCCTTTCCTGCAAGTGTTTGGGTTGAGTTCACAATTTTTTATTTATTTTATTTTTTAAATGCAAGTGAGTTTGAGCTATTTTTACCAGTTAAGTTGAAGTTTTAAGCTGTGTCAGAAGTTTCATAAGGAGCTTCCTAATTACTGTTAATTTTGGGTTATTTGTTTACTACTTGTCTATGTTAGTATTAAAAAAAGTGAAAAAAATAAAATAAAGTGACGTGACGTGACGTGACATGTGGCCAAGCATGGTGACCCATACTTGGAATTAGTGCTCTGCATCTAACCCATCCAAAGTGCACACACACACACACAGCAGTGAACACACACACACACCGTGAACACACACCCGGAGCAGTGGGCAGCCATTTTTTTTTGCTGCGGCACCCGGGGAGCAGTTGGGGGTTCGGTGCCTTGCTCAAGGGCACCTCAGTCGTGGTATTGAAGGTGGGAGAGAGCGCTGTACATCCCCCCCCCCCCCCTACAATCCCTGCCGGTACGAGACTCGAACTCGCAACCTTTGTGTGAAGGTAACAAAAACATTTCTAAATGCAATATGTGAACTGCTAAATCAGGGATGAGTTAATTTGTTATTAATTTGACTCAATCAAGCTGAAACAAGCTTTATGTTTGTCAGTGATAAAGCACTTTTTATATCCATGTCGGACACTTGAGAAGCAGGCTATAATTTTATCATAGATGCGGTGGTGCTTCTGCACATGTGGTCAGTATCATTGCCAGTCAACTTGAGGGACAGAGACATCTCAATGGCTACAGGATGATGTTTGACAGATGTTGACTAAGTAGTTTGTGGCTGACCAGAGAAATGGTGAGCGACATAGTTCTTTTTTTCTTGTGAGAAAATTTGAGATCGTGAGAAAACAACACATAAAAAAATAAATAATGCATGGGGCCTTTTGCAAAATATGGCATAACAACCCCCACCATCTCAAAAAATAAATAAATAAATAAAATAAAAGAAAAAACAGCAATGTCGTTTAAATGTCATTGCACTGTCACAGCTTTATGATGGACGGTAAGCTTTAGCTGATATCACTCTCGTAATTGTGTCTTTTTATGATAGGTGCTGATGTCTGGCCCATAGGGCAATCAGGGCTCTCATCTTGTAGCATCACCTCGACTTGAATCTTTGCTCTACATACCCACACAAGTTGCACCAGGTACCATGGAAACAAAAATTTAGGACGATTCTAAGGGCCCACGCACTTTTGGGACCCCCAGAGGTCTGTTTTATATGCAGTAACAGTACTAGTAGTAATGCAATAGAAATGATAAATGTATCTACCAAAGAGTTTCAAATAAAACAAAATTACGGCTTATGTCTGCATTTCCGGAAAAATTACCCCCCCCCCTCATTCACTGCATGGTTCCGTCCCACCCTACGCAGCCTAGAGTCACTGAGTGAGATCAGATGGTAAACTTGCACTGTCACAGCTTTATGATGGACGGTAAGCTTTAGCTGATATCACTCTCGTAATTGTGTCTTTTTATGATAGGTGCTGATGTCTGGCCCATAGGGCAATCAGGGCTCTCATCTTGTAGCATCACCTCGACTTGAATCTTTGCTCTACATACCCACACAAATTGCCAAAGTTGCACCAGGTACCATGGAAACAAAAATTTAGGACGATTCTAAGGGCCCACGCACTTTTGGGACCCCCAGAGGTCTGTTTTATTAGCAGTAACAGTACTAGTAGTAATGCAATAGAAATGATAAATGTATCTACCAAAGAGTTTCAAATAAAACAAAATTACGGCTTATGTCTGCATTTCCGGAAAAATTACCCCCCCCCCTCATTCACTGCATGGTTCCGTCCCACCCTACGCAGCCTAGAGTCACTGAGTGAGATCAGATGGTAAACTGTCAAATTAGAGATGTCTTCGGGTTTGAGCCAGTCACGTGACTGAAAACTATGAATTGTAGCCTCTATAAATTTGATAATGCTCAACACCATTGATTCGAAGCACTGTCAATGCTTTGTAAAGCCTTTTTATCATGCCAGTAAAGCTACTTTAATCTCAATTTACCAGCTGCTGATTGCGATGCAGATTTTTAAAAATAGGATACACATCTCAACCACAGAGCGTCTCTGTTCATGGTATGTAAACACTCAATTCTATGTTTTAAAATATTTCCCTGGTCATACTGAGCCAATATTTATTCTGATGACTTTCGTGTGACTGATCACGCTGTAGCTAGTATGAGTAGCCTAACAAAATGCTTTCCCTGTCCAGATTTAATAATAACTGACACTTCAAATCAACATTTACATTTCAACTTTTACTAAATGTAGTCTTTACATTTATTAGATACAGCTATCTAGAGGTTACACCCTGATATTGCAGAAGATAAATGGTGCATAATTTAGAGGTTAATATTTAGTAAAATCGCCTTAAAATAATACAAATATTAAAGAAAAAAAATATTATTGAGCTAAAATCACAAAAGCACAAATATATATTTATTTTTATATAATGCTGTCTTCATTAATTTGTAAGTTCATCTAAAAGTGTTTGGGCTGTTTAATATTGGGATTTTGTTTAAAATCCCCCTCCGCAGCCCCACCCTACAACATCAAGCAACCTCATTTTCTTTCATAGGGCCCAAAATTGCTAGCGGTGCCCCTGGTTGGTCTTGAACTGAACAGTTCCCGGAAGCATAATGCAATACGAACCCCATTTCCAACCTTAATAATGTAGAGGAAGACACTTGGATTGTTCCTGCAGGAGAGTAATATGTGTCGTTGGATAAAATGCTCATGGCTCTACTGCATTTCAACATTTCTTACAGCAGAGTTCTGAGTGCTCAGTGAAAATAACTTTGCCCCAGATTCACATGTTGTTGGATTTCAACCTATTTTATGGAATTTTAAAGAAGAAACTTTCACCAGATCTAACAATGGTTTTGGCTGTTCAAAGCACAATATAAGCCTTGTAGAGGAAATGTACCATAATGAAATTGGAAACCACTAAAATGGAAATGAGAAATAAAACCTGAAATAACTTTTTCATTGATACACATCTGCACCCAGGATGGATTTTTACCACAGATGTTTCATGTTTCAGGAGATGTTTGTTAAGAGACACTCGTCTCTTCACTGCACAGCATGGGGGGTTTGGAGTTATAAATCAGTTTTATATGAGACCATATTTTAAAGGGGTCATATGATGCGATTTCAAGTTTTCCTTTCCCTTTGGAGTGTTACAAGCTGTTCGTGAATAGATAAGATCGCTAAAGTTGCAAAGACTAAAGTCTCAAACCCAAAAAGATATTCTTTATAAAAGTTATGACTCATCCACGCCCTCCTAAAACGCCTCGTTCAAACACGACCCCACATGTCTACGTCACGATGTGGGAAGATTTGCATAACACCGCCCAAATGTTCATGCAAATAAAGAAGGCATAACTTTATTGTTGCTGCCACCGCCGCCGCCATGTTGTGAAGACACTGTGTGTTTCATTGCGAAAGCAAAAATACTTTGTTTGGCCTTCCAAAAGAGGACACGACTAGAAATCAGTGGTTCGGTTGTATTTACAACACTGTTCCAGAACAGTTCAACCCAAATATTCAGATGTGTGCAGCACATTTTATGGAGGACTGTTTCTTGATCCTGGTAGAGTAGACTACAATGCCGGCTGTTCTGACTCACAGTCTGTAAGTACGATTTCATATTTAAAGAATTTGCCACTGATGATTCAAACTCGAGTTTTAAGCAGTGTAGAGTAGCGCTTGTTGTTTGTCATTTCTCTGATCACAAATGCAGGCATGGTTTTATGTTTACGCGGCGCAATGCAACGTATCGCGCAAAAAGACAGTATAAGTCTTTATATTCCCTAATTATGTCCCCACTGGATGCAACAAATGCCTAATTTATAATGGGTTTTAATATTTTTGTCTCATCGCTCCGGCCGGACAGGGCATCACAGTATGGTAAGGGGTGTAACATTTCCATCACACGCTTGAGGTATTCGGCCAATCACAACACACTGGATAGCTGGCCAATCAGAGCACACCTCGCTGTTCAGACCGATGAGCTTTGTAAAAATCGACGTGTTTCAGAAAGGCGGGGCATAGAGGAGAAACAGTAATGTATAGTATGTGGAAAATAATATGTTTTTTTTAACCTTAAACTGCATAAACACATTTCATTACACCAAATACACAAAATAATGTTCTTTTTAGCAACATCATATGACCTCTTTAACATATTGTCAAGGTTAACTAGATATCCATGCAAAGGTCAAACCTTCATGCACTGTGAGGTCAGATATTGATTAATATTCCTAGTGTTTTGGATCATATTGCATAACTTTTGAATTATGCAATGGATTACATAAAATGCATAAAGAAGTGACAGATCCGTCTGCAGATGTTCAGAATAAACATTATACAATATACAATACCTTAGATATTAAATAAAGGAATATGTGAATAACCAGTGTGATTTTTTTTCTCTACAGATAACGTGTACAGAGAATGTCTTGCCAATGGGACCTGGGCAAAGAAAGGAAACTACTCCCAATGTCAGGAAATCCTCAACGAGGAGGTATGTGGTTGCACTTTATTAATTTAATAAAAATACATTCATACAGTCATGTCACAATTATATTTAAATCATAGGTTTTCTAATAATTATTATTCAATAAACTGTTTTATACAGTGTTTTATATAGTGGTTTTAAACAAGGTTTTTAGTTAAGCATTTGGAGAAAAAAAAGGAAATCAAACAAGAAGATCTCTAGATCACTATGCAAATTTGACACTGACCACATGAACCTCTTTGTACAAAAGGTCAGTTGCAATTTAATGAAAATTGTTGTATTAAATAAGAGTAGAATGCAAAATATAATCTTTTTCACTAGTGGTTTTAGAAGTTTAGTCCCCATACAATTCAGTGCATATACAGTATATATGCTTAGCTGAAAGTTCCTTTTCTTTGCACTCTGGATCAGTTTGTTGCACATTTTAGGCAAGGCAAGGCAAGTTTATTTATATAGCACATTTCATACACAATGGTAATTCGAAGTGCTTTACATAAAAGAAAAGAAAATAATAATAAAAAAAATAATCACAACAATAAAACAAGGAATTTAAAAACTTTGATAATGATTTAAAAATTGATTTAATAGTTTTAAAATTAATTTAAAACAGTTAAGATTAGAAAATGATTATACATAAAATATAGTGCAATCAGTTCGGACATTGCACAGTGCTCATTCAATAAATGCACAGCTAAACAGATGAGTTTTGAGTCTGCATTTAAATGTGACTAATGTTTTAGCAGATCTGATCTCTTCTGGAAGCTGATTCCAACTGTGGGCGGCATACTAACTAAAAGCGGACTCCCCATGTTTTGTGTGAACCCTTGGTATTTCTAACTGACTCGATCCTAATGATCTGAGTGGTCTGTTAGGTTTATATTCAGTGAACATATCTGCTATGTATTTAGGTCCTAGGCCATTGAGGGATTTATAAACGAGTAAAAGTACTTTAAAATCAATACTAAATATAACTGGAAGCCAGTGTAAGGACCTGAGGACTGGTGTGATATGCTCAGATTTTCTGGTTCTAGTCAGAATTCTGGCAGCAGCATTCTGGATGAAGGCCGGTGAGAAGATCATTACAATAGTCCATCCTGCTGGTGATAAAGGCATGAACAAGTTTCTCAGAGTCTTGACTGGAAACAAAACATCTAATTCTTGCAATGTTTTTTAGATGATAGTATGCTGATTTAGTTACTGCTTTGGCATGACTACTGAAACTAAGGTCTGTCTCCAGAATCACACCAAGATCCCTGACTTGATTTTTAGTTGTTAGACACCTAGAGTCAAGGTATGCATTCACCTTGAGAACTTCATCTTTGTTTCCAAATGCAATGACTTCAGTTCCCCTTCAGGAACTCGAGCTGCGTCGAACGTTTTGGGAACACCCCGGCGAGACACCGTACTGAAGCATGTGTGAAATCAGTCCAATAGCGAAGCGAAACATCACGAGCGGGGTGATGTAAGTAGCCAGGAAGCATAAAGGCGCATCCGGCAAGCGCGCATGTTAGCTTTTGCTCTTCAGCGAGCGCGTCTGTGGTGTGTGTGTGAATATATGCAAAGCACTCAGTCAGTTAAAAAGTTAAGCGAAAGAAAAAATAAATGCCAAAGAGCAAGATCGCAACCTTCACGTCGGGGCCTTCCATTTTTCCCCGATCTCTATTCTGAGCTTTCGAGATCGTGGGATAAACCATATTCGTCCCGACTCTTTAGCCCCTCTGTTTCTAATTACTCTAACATCACGGGGTTGAATGAGAAGGGATATGGGGCGGTGCAGGCAGTGGAACAGACGCTCGTGAGCTATCTGTCCCCGTCCTCAGCATCGTCTCTGAAGGCCCCGAAGCTTCCCACCAGGCCAGTAAGACTAACATCCAGCCTGCTTGGGAAAGTATATACGGCAGCAGGTCAGGCTGGTGCGTGTCTGCACACTATGGCGGTGTTGCAGGCGTACCAGGCCGACCTGCTAAAAGACATGGATGCTAGGGAGGGAGAGGAATCTGACGCAGTCGCCGAACTGCGTCGGGCCACAGATCTGTCGCTTCGGGCCACCAAGGAAACGGCCAGAGCCATTGGCCATTCCATGGCAGCTCTCGTGGCCACGGAGCGACACCTGTGGTTGAATCTCTCCGAATTACAAGATAAGGACAGATTCTTCCTGCTGGATGCCCCGCTATCACCTTCTGGCCTCTTCGGCGGCGCAGTAGACACTGTCGTCGAGAGGTTTCAGGAGGCGAAGAAGCAAGCGGTGGCATTCCAGCGCTTCCTCCCTCGCCAGCCCCAGGTATTTAGGACTGCTGAGCGGGAGCAGTCCCAGCGCCGACCTGCTAAAAGACATGGACGCTAGGGAGGGAGAGGAATCTGACGCAGTCGCCGAACTGCGTCGGGCCACAGATCTGTCGCTTCGGGCCACCAAGGAAACGGCCAGAGCCATTGGCCATTCCATGGCAGCTCTCGTGGCCACGGAGCGACACCTGTGGTTGAATCTCTCCGAATTACAAGATAAGGACAGATTCTTCCTGCTGGATGCCCCGCTATCACCTTCTGGCCTCTTCGGCGGCGCAGTAGACACTGTCGTCGAGAGGTTTCAGGAGGCGAAGAAGCAAGCGGCGGCATTCCAGCGCTTCCTCCCTCGCCAGCCCCAGGTATTTAGGACTGCTGAGCGGGAGCAGTCCCAGCCGTCTAGCTCCTCATATCGCCAGACCCAGAAACAGCTCTTGGCCAGGGTCTTCTAGACAGAAAACGGATCTACGGACGTTATTATGTCTAAGAGGACCTCGGCCACCACGGGGAGGAGAGGTGCACACCTCAGCACACGGTGCCCGATCTTCCTCAGTGCCCTCGGGGAGACTGATGCCCCTGCCACCCTCTGTGCTTCAGGGCCCAGTAGGCTCTGGCGAGCAAAATTCCAAGCTGCCGCCCGGCGACGGTACGGCACGGCACGGGATAGCTCGCCCCCTCAGATGAGGGCGCTAGAGAGCATAGATCGGTTGTTCCCTGCCGGTCAACCACTTCAGGGCACCGATGTGGCTCTTCTAGTAACACCAGACGCCAGTCTTGAGAGACTGGTTCCCTTAGTAGATTTTCTGACAGCGTGGAAACTTCTGCCGAATGTCTCACAATGGGTCCTGCAGACTGTAGAGAGAGGTTACAGAATTCAGTTCGGTTCTCGTCCAACTCGCTTCAACGGGGTTATTCCTACATTAGTTGGCCCCGAGCAGGCTTTGGTATTGGAACAAGAAGTAGAAACTCTCTTGAGGAAGGAGGCCATAGAAAGTGTTCCTCCTCTCTCTCTCTCTCTCTCTCTCTCTCTCGAGAGAGAGAGAGAATCAGGGTTCTACAGCCGTTACTTCATCGTTCCGAAAAAGGATGGGGGGTTGCGTCCGATCATCGATCTGAGTCTACTGAACCGCGCTATCAAACGATTTCGGTTCAAGATGCTTACGATCAAACAGATTGTGTCTCAAATCAAGTTCGAGGACTGGTTTGTCACGATAGATCTCAAGGACGCATACTTCCATGTATCCATTCTTCCTCTGTTCTACAGCCGTTACTTCATCGTTCCGAAAAAGGATGGGGGATTGCGTCCGATCATCGATCTGAGTCTACTGAACCGCGCTATCAAACGATTTCGGTTCAAGATGCTTACGATCAAACAGATTGTGTCTCAAATCAAGTTCGAGGACTGGTTTGTCACGATAGATCTCAAGGACGCATACTTCCATGTATCCATTCTTCCTCAACACAGGAAGTTCTTGAGGTTTGCTTTCGGGGGCGAGGCATACCAATATCGGGTTCTTCTGTTCGGTCTCTCACTCTCACTGGGGTTACGGCTGAATGGCAAGAAAAGTGTACTTTCTCCAATACAGAGGACCACTTACCTAGGCGTGGTGTGGGATTCGACACTCGTATCGAAGCGATTCTCACAGCCATGAGAGGAGTGAGAGAAGGCCAGTCACTTATGGGCATCCGCATACTGAATTACATTGACGATTGGTTGATTTGAGCTCAGTCAGAGCAGATGGCGGCTCGGCATCGAGCTGTCGTACTTGCACATATGAGAGAACTGGGGTTACGGCTGAATGGCAAGAAAAGTGTACTTTCTCCAATACAGAGGACCACTTACCTAGGCGTGGTGTGGGATTCGACACTCGTATCGAAGCGATTCTCACAGCCGTGAGAGGAGTGAGAGAAGGCCAGTCACTTACTGTCAAACATTTTCAGAGACTGTTGGGTCTGATGGCAGCTACGTCCAATGTGATACCTTTTGGCCTGCTGTACATGAGACCCTTGCAGTGGTGGCTCAGGACCAAAGGGTTTTCCCCGAGGGGCAACCCGCTTCGCACAATCAAGGTCACGCGACGATGCTTACGTGCCTTAGACATGTGGAAGAAACCTTGCTTCCTGTCTCAAGGCCCGTTGCTGGGGGCTCCTTGTCATTGTGTAACGCTAACGACGGACGTCTCCGTCATGGGTTGGGGAGTGGTCATGAGTGGCCGCTCTGCCCGAGATCGGTAGGGAAGGCCATCATCTCATGTGGCACATCAACTGCCTGAAGATGTTGGCCATGTTTCGAGCTCTAAAACACTTCCTTCCAGACCTAAGGGGACATCATGTGCTTGTCCGCACAGACAACACATCGGTGGTCTCCTACATAAATCAGCAGGGAGGTCTGCGCTCGCGCCCCCTTTACAGGCTGGCGCACCAGATCCTCCTGTGGGCTCAAGGAAAGTTCCTCTCGTTAAGAGCAGTCTACATCCCTGGGAATCTCAATCAGGGAGCAGACATCCTGTCGAGACAGGGGCTGAGGCCTGGGGAGTGGAGACTCCACCCAGAAGTGGTGGAGCTCCTTTGGGGGGAGTTTGGCCAGGCGGAAGTGGACCTATTTGCGTCGCAGGAAACAACACACTGTCCGCTCTGGTTCTCCCTCACACATCCAGCTCCACTTGGGCTGGATGCTATGGTTCAGACGGGGCCGAGGCTTCGTCTGTACGCATTTCCCCCGATCG